AGGGGGCGTGGCGCCGGTAGAGCCGGAGGCCGGCACTGGGAAGTGTGCCGCGGCGCTCATGGCGGAAGCGACTCTGACCTCCGAGTTCCCGCAGCCGGCTGGTGTCGCGCGCTGGGCCGAGGCTATGGCTCGCTTTGCGGCCAGGCTGGGCGCGCAGGGCCGGCGGGTGGTGCTGGTCACGTCCGGCGGCACCAAGGTCCCGCTGGAAGTGCGAGCCGTGCGCTTCCTAGACAACTTCAGCAGCGGGCGGCGCGGAGCTGCCTCGGCCGAGGCCTTCCTGGCCGCGGGGTACGGGGTCATCTTCTTGTACCGCGCTCGCTCCGCTTTCCCCTTTGCCCACCGCTTCCCGCCCCAGACCTGGCTGTCGGCTCTGCGGCCCTCCGGCCCAGCCCGTGCGGGGACGCTGCCCTTGGAGGCCGAGGAGAAGGCGCTCCCGGGCTTCGCTGCAGCCTTGCTGAGCTACCAAGAGGCCGCGGTTGCCGGCACTTTCCTCGCCGTAGAGTTCACCACTTTGACGGACTATTTGCATCTGCTGCAAGCTGCGGCCCTGGCGCTCAACCCACTAGGTGTGTGCCCCTTAGAAGTCCACGGGGTGCCTGGAGGCATGCCGAGCCTTTCTCCCCAGCCGCTTAATCACTTACCCCCAGATAGGTGTAAATCTCACAGTCCCGGAATTCGAGGTCAGCTGGAAAGGAACGAAGCCCATACACCTCCCTGATGGCTGTTACACCCTGTCCTTCTCGTTACAGGCCCTTCTGCGATGTTCTACTTGGCTGCGGCCGTGTCAGATTTCTATGTTCCTGTTTCTGAAATGCCTGAACACAAGATCCAGTCATCTGCTGGCCCACTGCAGGTGATAGGCGCTTTTCTTCCAGAGATCTGGCTCCCTAGAACCATTCTTGAGTCAATTTCTTCTTGATCTGGAAATGGCCTTTCTGTGTGTCCTGCTAGGCACTGTGCATACAGAGATGAATGAGGCACCTCCTTCCCTTCAGGCCCTTGCGGTCTTGAAGGAGCTGCGCACAGACAGTTACAATTCAGGGAGATAAAGGCAGTAGTAGAAGTCTGTACAAAGGGCACACAAGTGACTCTGACTTCTTGAGGGAGTCAGTCACCCTCCCAGTACACGGTGACTTTAGAGCTGGGTCTTAGTAGATTAGCAGAAAGATTGCCAGACCGCACGGGAAAGATCACTCTGGTTAAGGCTGGTGCAGGAGCCCTTGGGGCTAAACAATCGCTTAGCTGCTGACCTAAAAGTTGGCAATAAAGAGTCCAGGCTAGACAAATCCCATGGGCAGCCCTACTCTGTCAATAGGAGTTGCTGAAAGTCCAAAACAATCCCAGGGAGGAAGCAGTAGGGGTGGAGGGCCGACTGGAGAAACCACACTTAATAGTCCATGTAAAACTATTCCTGGTTAAGGAGCTTGAACTTTTATGTGACCCAGGAAAGACATATTATAAGAGAAGGTAGCAAAATTCTTGTTGGAGAACATCATTCTGGCATCAGAAAGATGGATTAAAGACAGGATGAAGAGAGGAGATTACTTTGAAGTATTACTGTAGTCTAAGGAAGGTTAAACTCCTGAGTGGTGGAGGTGATTTGACTTATTGGAACCTGAGAGATGTTTAATGAATAAGACAAATAGAATTTAAGTAAAAAGAAACTTTACCTGAGGGGTGCTTGCTGACTCTATGGAGTAATTCATTTATTCATTCTTTCAACAAATTGGTATTGAAAACCTTCCATGTGCCGGGTGCATCTGTAAGACCTAGAGATGTAGCAGTGAAAAGAAACACACCTTGCTCTTGAATTGCTTTCATTCTACAGGGGAGACATTCAATAATAAATATAAACTAAGTTTTCTACTGAATGGAGCCAGTTTCCCCATACAGTAGTTAGTGAGTTTGAACCGCTGACCTTGTGGATAACAGCCTAATGCTCATCCCACAGCACCACTAGGGGACCTCTAACTTTGTTAGCTAAAAAAAGCCTCAATACCGTCCAGTTGATACCAACAGATTGTGACCATATAGATTTACTCTTTACAGGAGCAGAAAGAATTCTCTTTCCCAAGGAGCCACTGGTGTGTTTGAACTGCTGACTTTGTGGTTAGCATCCCAGCATCCAACCAACTACTTCAAAATGCTAAGGAGAAACACGTGCACATGTATTTGATCTGCATCACACTAACAAGTGGCAGTCTTAATGATTATCTTAGAATGGTTAAACTCTGGAAGTTTTAGTTTACTGCTTATATTTTAGTTTTATCTGGAAAGGACAAAAATTAATTCCACATTCCTCCCAAAAGGGCTTGAGGAGGGAGTAGTAGTTTTGATTAAGTGTTAAATCAGTTTCCTCAGTGCTAAGCTGTTACCAGTGACACGAGGTCACAAGTTCAATTTTAAATTTGAATCAAGTAGAGACTCCACCAATGCAAAAAAAAATATTTTAATTTGAGAGGCTTAAAACCCCAACTATTTGGACTTCTGTGAAACATCTCTATCCATCTTTTTGCATGAACAGATTGTTTGCATTTATTTACTTGAGTATTTGCCTAGAAAAATAAGGAGAAGTGTTTGAGGAAATACGGTCGTTCTTTAGCGTTGCAGGAGTGGGGGCGAGTGTGGCAGAGCAGATGGCTAGTGTAGAAAACACGGCTTGTTCCAGAATATGTGTGAAGCCTTGGAATTACACTTGTGGGCCTTATCAAACAAGCTTTTTTAAGTGAAATGTTTATAATGTGCTCTGAAGTTTGACAGTGAGACCCCCTCATTAAAATTAGCATTGGCTCGCGAGGCAAAAATAATAGTTTCCCATGAGCTTGAGCTCCTAGAGAGTGACCTTTACTTACTAAGCTTTTCTTTTCCAATACAGATAACAATGAAGATGGTGCCAAAAATGCTTTCTCCTTTGGTTAAAGACTGGGCTCCGAGAGCATTTATAATTTCCTTTAAGTTGGAGACTGACCCATCCATTGTAATTGATCGTGCACATACTGCTTTGGAAGTTTATCGACATCAAGTGGTGGTGGCCAATGTCCTTGATACTCGGAGGTCCTTTGTAGTTATCGTTAGAAAAGACTCGGAAACCAAGCTCCTGTTGTCAGAGGAAGAAGTAGAGAGGGGCATAGAGATAGAACAGAAGATAGTGGAAAATCTTCAGTCTCAACACACAGCTTTTATATGTGACAAAAACTAAAAAACCATTTTAGGGGGCGAAATATGTTCAGTGGACCAGAACTCTTACAGAGCATAATGGTGAGAACTAGAATTTAATCCTTTGCTTTCATAAAACCGGAGAAAAGTGAAGAGAATGCGAAAAGCAGTAGTGTGAAGAAGAACGTAATTTGGTATTTGTCTTTTAAAGGTCTTTTTTAATCATTAAACATGAAAAAAAAGTAAAGCAACTATGACCAAACTACCTGATGCACTTACCTGGATGTCCTCACGATTTTGAAAATGCATCTAATAGCCATTTCTCACCTTAAAGAGAAGAACCATATTGAGGATTATATTCTGTCCATCAAGATACACATGGGAGCCGGAATGCCAGACTTCTTCATAGTATAAGAGAAGAATTATGGATACATATGTGGTGGTGAGTGCATATTATGTGCCAGGCCCATGCTAAATTTTGAGGATTAAAAAGATGAATAAAAATGTAGATTGGAAAATGGATTGTAAACGAGTGCAATAAAGTATATACCCAAAAGTCAACACAGTGGTAAGAGTGTTTTTGTTTTTAAAATGCTTTAAAGATGAAGATAGAAAAGCCAACACCTTTCTATTGCTTGTAGAATGAAGAAGCAGCCCTGGTGTCTTGTAATATGAGTTGAGTTGCTAATCACAAGGCCAGCAGTTCAAAACCACCAGCTACCCTGCAGGAGAGAGATGTGTCTGTCTACTATAAAGATTTACAGCCTTGGAGACCCTCGGGCATTTCTACTCTGCCCTATAGGGTCGCTATGAGTTGGAGCTGACTTGGCAGTGGGTTTGGTTTGAGTAGAATAGTCAGTTTCCCACCAAAGTTACATTTTGTGTCTCATCTTAGATTCATCCCATATTTGAGTAGCAGTTAACTTTCCAAATCGTTTAGCTCTGTGGGTAAATTGAACGCAGTCTTCCAATTCCAGGCAGGCATTATGGTGTAAAGTAGGGAATGGGCTTTGGAGCAGGACTTGAAACTGCTTCCACTTGGATCATGGCCCCATGAAGTGAAATGAACAGGCTCAAAATTGTAAAATGTGGCTGAACTGGGCTAACACCCAGCAAGAAACTTAATCTCCCACTTAGAAAATAAGAGCGGTATGTGCATTAAATAGGCAAATCGTGACCAGTAGACAAAAACTACAGTGCTTCACTCAAACGGAGTCAATGGTGCAGCTTTGTCACGCTCCACAGTCCAGCCAGCAGTCCGGTTTTCCCCATCAGGATTCTCCAAGGGTTCAGGAGGCCTTTTTCAAGTGTATTTTTTTATTATTATTATTCTGGTTATCGTTTGGCTTCACTCAAAAGTTTAAAATTCCAGTCTGTTCCTATTTTGCTATGTTGGCCAATAGTTTGAAGGTTCAAAGCTCTGCTTTGAAGTCATCTTAGATTTGAGCCCAACTATAGCATCTATTAAAGAAGCCTTGGTGGTGCAATGGTTTTGTGTTGGGCTGCTAAATACAAGGTCGGCAGTTCAAAACCACCAGCCACTCCAGAGAGAAAGATACAGCTTTCTACTGTAAAGAGTTTTTTTTACCTTCGATTTTATTTTTTTCATTTTATTGGGGACTCTTACAACCCTTACCACAATCCATACATCACTTGCATCAGGCGAATTTGTACATATGTTGCCTTCATTCTTTTCTAGACATGTACTTACTTTTTAAAAAAATCATTTTATTGGGGGCTCATACAATTTTTTTTTAAAACATTTTATTAGGGGCTCATACAACTGTTACCGCAATCCATACACACATCAATTGTGTAAAGCGCATTTGTACATCATTCTCAAAACATTTTCTCTCCACTTAAACCCCCGACATTAGGTCCTCA